CCATATAAATAAAGTTTATTATAAGTTATAGTAATATTTATGTATAAATTAAATGTATATATAATATATTATTTTATTATATAAATAAATTAATGATACAAATTATATGTTAAAATGTTTTATATCAAAGTTTGTATAAATAATAACTAATTGTAAACAATATATTATAAAATCTAAGGTGATAACTAATTAAGTTATTAAGTGTAATCATGTAAATAAAGTCTATTATAAGTTATTGTAATTCTTATGTATAAATTAAATATATGTATATATAATATATGGCTTTATTATATAGATACATATATGAAATTAATAACATAACTTATATACTATAATGTTTAATATCAAAGTTTGAATAAACAATAACTAATTATAAACAATATATTATAAAATCTAGGATGATAACTAATAAAAAGTTATTAAATGTAATCATATAATAAAGTTTATTATAAATTATAGTAATGTTTATAAATAAATTAAATATATGTATATATAATATATTTATACAATTATATATATTCATAACATTTTATATTATGAAACATTACTAAAATGTAATAATTATAACATATTAAGATGTAGGATATTTATTATCATATATTATAATATTAACATATAAGTTATATCATTTAAAATATATAATTTATAATTTATATTAATACAAATTTATAAATAAATATACATAATTAATAATAAATTGCTATGATTATGATTTATATATGTATATATAATACCCTAATATATTTTAAGTATATTATTAATGAAGTTTACTATCAATTCTTCTTAATAAATAAAAAAATTTATATATATTAATATATATAAACATATAAAAAATTAGTTTTTTTAAATGGATTGATCCAATAATTTTAAAATCAAGAACCGACAAAAAAAGTAATTAAATCAAACATTTTAAACTAATTAATCTAATAAATCAATTAAATCAAATTATTTTATTCAAATCGTATTTAATTTAAGTAGATAATTGATCTAGATTAATTTTACTCACTCCTAATTGTGGGCAGCTGTCACCACCGAAATTATGGAATGTTGGCCATTGGCCAAGTCTGGCCGAAAGGGTCCTAAGAAAGGAATGCAACTGGGATGTGAGCATAATGACCATTATTTATTATAGCCATTTTAAATTAGGAGAGCTGAAACAAGGGACCATTACTTTTGGTTGGAAAGTGGAAAATCATAATGATTTTCAAAAACAAAAAATAATAATTCGAATAGTATGTATTTTTTTATTTTTGAGTTTAGCATAATTCTTGAATTTGTTATAAAAAGTTTTCAATAATAATTAGTGGAAAATAAAGAAAAACTTAAATGAATTTTTTTCGTATATAACATAGATGAATTTATAACGTACATTAACTCAAAAATATAAAATTTATTTTATTTTCCTTATTTGATTGGCCTGCATGACTGCATTTGGACAGTCATTCGATGT